CTTTCCTCATCACGAATTCTTATACGTTGTAATCCCTCAAAATACACTAAATATCACTTCATTCGATTACTTTCCTCAACACGAATTCTTATCCGTTGTAATCCCTCAAACCCCGTTAATGCATGGGAACTTGAACTGTCCTTGTTAATTCTTATTGTTATTGGCCTCATAGTTTTGCTTACTCAAGAGAAATGAGATTCGGTAAATGTCGTCTCACTTTTACCGTGCGTAACTGGTTGAAAACTTGCCATGACAACGCAGCCATTGCGTGGTTAGTAGGTGTGACAAGAAAAAAACAACACAGTCTTAATTGCTTAAGTTGCATGCATTGGAAAACTTAAAGCAGTCTTAGGTGTTACGTTGCAAGGTCACTAATCCAAGAGTGATAGAGAACTTTTAAGATAACACAGCTAGTTGACGTTAAGATCGTATTCTGAAGTCTTTGAAAGGTCGGCGCATTGTGCCAAAAAAAAAGTCTCACCTTGAATTAACATAAGTTCACACATTGTGCGTGGGTACATGTGGCAAGAAAATAACAATACAGTCTTCATTAACAGAAGTTCTGTGCAACTATACACGCAATAAATCAAATACATTTAGACTCAATAAAAAATGGTTTTGAGGGCAGTTTGTTAAACAACGCACGTTAAGTCATGGATGGTTTTCAAAGTTTTTCAAATACGATCGGCCATCGATCGATCAACGGACTTTGTTTGACTTTGTTGCTATGTAAGTGCCACAAGTTACTGCTAAACAATGCACGTAATCAAACAAAGATATTTAGACTCAATTGCACTTAAACTATGCTAAGATCTCTGTCGCATTTTAAGTTCTCTACATGATTACAGTTTCTGAAATTGGATCAGCCATCGATAAACGAGCGCGAATTACCAACGAGTGCATCAACAACATCGGCATGGTGTGGGGGACAGAGAGATTAAGGCGAGTGAAACTAACAATTACAAGCATGTCATCAAGATCGTATTTATAAATGGGACGATTATAACCTCGGCTAGGCAAATAGAGACAATCTTGTAAGCATATATACACTTTAATTATATCATGGATCGAAGTAACTGCTGTATGGAGCAAAGTAACTCTTGTATGGAGCGAAGTGACTTCAATTATGGAGCGAAGTGACTTTTGGTTGGGGCAAAATGACTGGGGGCGAAATGACCGGATACCTCTCAGTTTTCTCAAACAAACAACCTTACAACACAAGCCCTACAAGCATAAGAGCAAGTAAGGACATGATTACGCTTAGGAATGGGCAGAAACTCCTCCAAAAGTATGTCTCATAGAATTTTAGGCAGATTTCATGGGTTACAACCATCTCACTTTTTTGTGGCACCATCAATATCCCAGCGTCTGTATGGTGGCCTGGGACTGCCATGACAAAAAACCCATTGTCTTAACAAGTTTCTTGCAAATTTGTTTTATTTGCTTTTCCAATTGTATTTTTCTGTTTCTTTTAATGTCATTTTGTTTTGTTTTTTTAATCACAAAAATATTTTAATTTAAAATCAAAAGTAAATAAATCAAGAAATAAATTTAAATCGAAGAAAATATCTC